CTTGGTCGACTGACATTCTCATTGGTCGACCAGTTGCATATTTTTTTTTTTACACCAATAGACATTTTCATTGATTTACTCCTTGATATTTATTCCTTTATAAGCAGTTATATATTACTGTATTCTAAATATAATTAGCCTATGTTTTATCCCCAACATTAAATGCTTTAATTTAGGCTGTTTTGTAACAGCGCCACAGTTTAGCGCACTGCGTAGAACACTCGGGAACCGCACGCGGCTGGCTGCACTGCTGCTTTTTGTAGCGTGTGGTGTAGAGGTCTGCATGGGCTTTAAACTAAAGCCCGAACCCGGCCCGTACCCGCGATCATTTAACCCGACAGTTTCATTTACATGTTAAGCCCAAACCCGACCAGAACCCGACCTGACCCCGAGGTCCACTCTGTTTCTTACATCAAGAAACATTTTTGCAATATGTTCTATTTAATGATTGCTTGAAACGGTAAACAAATAACGTTACATAGAGAGAGAGGGAGCGCCTGTGTCTGTGTGTAGCCTATGGCATGCAGTGCACATTGCACATCTGCGCACGCATGTACTTTCTCTGTCTCGTCTCGCGTGCCGGTCACCACAACACACAGCAAACAGGCAAAGCACACGGTGACGGCACGCAAACTATATATAGCCTTTTTAGTTTTTCTTACTTACAAACCCGAACCCGACCCGAAACCGAGGCTGTTCATTAAACATTAACCCGAACCCCGAACATTTTTCGGGACCCGTCGGGCTCGGGTCGGGTAGCACCCTCTAGTGTGGTGTGGTCAGGTGCGCGATTGTGACTGTCACTATAGACCTAGGACAGAGCTCCTCACTTTGGGTAGCAGACCTCTAGTGTGGTGTGGTCAGGTGTGCGATTGTGACTGTCACTATAGACCTAGGACAGAGCTCCTCACTTTGCAGTTACTAACAATCACTTAGTTTTCTAAAATGTTTATTATTATTATAGTTTTATGTATTATTGATGTTTTTTCATTGTTGTTTTATAAAAGCTCTATGACAATTGTTTAATAAATGTTCAACCAAAATGCAAAACATCACGACCTTTTTTTATTTTTAGTCGACTAATCGCTGCGCAGGATAAGACTTTGGTGGACTAAGCATTTCTTTGGTTGACTACAGCCCTAGTGATCTATGGGTGTGGATACAAGAATACAATTGTAAGATGAATCTGACTTTACAAATATAGAATAGTTTCTATTGGCCCAGATCAAGTACTCACCTCCTCATTTGTCCACTTCACCTTAACTTTACAACTCTCTCGCTGTTCTGCCACATCGGAGTCAGTGTCAACGGAGGGCATCTCCTCTCCATCTTCATTCTGCATGCTGCAGAAAAAAAAACAGTACACAAATGTGACATCTCAGTAAGGCAACTATTAAGGAGATGCCAGTGAATGTACAAATGCCACAAAGAGGTGTGATTCTCCATAAGGCGTGATTTTCCATAAGACCCCCTTTTAACAGACGTTGAGAAACTCAGTATTGAGCCTTTCCACAGAACTTAACAGCAGTTTGCGACACTGTGGACATAATTGCCCTGGTATCTAAGGGCCCAGAACTTTAGTCACAGTTGAACTCGGTCCCCATCCGTAACATTAAATACTATGGTACTCATTTCCAAATGTGCAACATTGTAGCAAGTTCTTCCAAGTGTTACTGTAGCAACGTTCCTCCTAGTGTTACTGTAGCACGATTCTTCCTAGAGTGTTACTGTAGCATCGTTCTTCCTAGAGTGTTACTGTAGCAACGTTCCTCCTAGTGTTACTGTAGCACCGTTCTTCCTAGAGTGTTACTGTAGCAACGTTCCTCCTAGTGTTACTGTAGCAACGTTCCTCCTAGTGTTACTGTAGCAACGTTCCTCCTAGTGTTACTGTAGCAACGTTCCTTCTAGTGTTACTGTAGCAACGTTCCTCCTAGTGTTACTGTAGCAACGTTCCTTCTAGTGTTACTGTAGCAACGTGTAGCAACGTTCCTTCTAGTGTTACTGTAGCAACGTTCCTTCTAGTGTTACTGTAGCAACGTTCCTCCTAGTGTTACTGTAGCAACGTTCCTTCTAGTGTTACTGTAGCAACGTTCCTCCTAGTGTTACTGTAGCAACGTTCCTCCTAGTGTTACTGTAGCAACGTTCCTTCTAGTGTTACTGTAGCAACGTTCCTCCTAGTGTTACTGTAGCAACGTTCCTTCTAGTGTTACTGTAGCAACGTTCCTTCTAGTGTTACTGTAGCAACGTTCTTCCTTGAGTGTTACTGTAACAACGCATTCGACCCAGTCATATTGGATGCAATGTAGCTAGCTAGCTCAGGTTAGCCAACAGCCTACTACTTATATATACTGTAACCCTGAGAGATTTATAATTCACAATTATCCCAATGTCATGTGCAACATGCTCGTTAAATGCTGCAAAGTGAATAACTGGAACTTTTAAGTAGTTGTATTCTTACATGAACTCGTGTGATTGGCTCAACTGGTGGGTGGTAAAGCAGCCGGTAACGTTAGCATACTAGCATATTAACGGCTGATTGGCTCAACTGGTGGGTGGTAAAGCAGTCGGTAACGTTAGCATACTAGCATATTAACGGCTGATTGGCTCAACTGGTGGGTGGTAAATTAACGCAGCTCAACTGGTAACGTTTAGCATACTAGCATATTAACGGCTGATTGGCTCAACTGGTGGGTGGTAAAGCAGCCGGTAACGTTAGCATACTAGCATATTAACGGCTGATTGGCTCAACTGGTGGGTGGTAAAGCAGCCGGTAACGTTAGCATACTAGCATATTAACGGCTGATTAGCTCAACTGGTGGGTGGTAAAGCAGCCGGTAACGTTAGCATATTAAAGCATATTAACATATTAACGGCTGATTGGCTCAACTGGTGGGTGGTAAAGCAGCCGGTAACGTTAGCATACTAGCATATTAACGGCTGATTGGCTCAACTGGTGGGTGGTAAAGCAGCCGGTAACGTTAGCATACTAGCATATTAACGGCTGATTGGCTCAACTGGTGGGTGGTAAAGCAGCCGGTAACGTTAGCATACTAGCATATTAACGGCTGATTGGCTCAACTGGTGGGTGGTAAAGCAGCCGGTAACGTTAGCATACTAGCATATTAACGGCTGATTGGCTCAACTGGTGGGTGGTAAAGCAGCCGGTAACGTTAGCATACTAGCATATTAACGGCTGATTGGCTCAACTGGTGGGTGGTAAAGCAGCCGGTAACGTTAGCATACTAGCATATTAACGGCTGATTGGCTCAACTGGTGGGTGGTAAAGCAGCCGGTAACGTTAGCATATTAGCATATTAACGGCTGATTGGCTCAACTGGTGGGTGGTAAAGCAGCCGGTAACGTTAGCATACTAGCATATTAACGGCTGATTGGCTCAACTGGTGGGTGGTAAAGCAGCCGGTAACGTTAGCATACTAGCATGTAACAAGTACTGGCCACGATGTTAACGGCTTGTAAAAGGCAACCTGTGCTGTAATAGCGAGCTAGCTTTCGATTTAAAACTAGCTACAGTAACATACACATCCCCGATAAAGTTACATATACAGGTACAATTGGTCCATATTAATGCGACTGATGTATTCATATAACTTAATGTCATCTTAATGCATTGTCTTACCCACTCGGCCAACAGGACATGTCCATCTGTAGAGCCTCTACTGGGGTCCAGTAACCTCCAAAACCCAACTGCCGAGGCCTGCTGGCACATACACACAATGGTTTATTGAAACAATCTATGTTCACCCTAACAAATCCATTTGCATGAACGTCTCAATAGTTTGCAAACAAACTCGAAAACTAATCCACATAAATCATATAAACTTAACTTTGTATAATCTCGCCCCTGACGCGTTTTAGTTGCACATTTTCCCGGGAACTCCGGTAGGGGTGTATTCAAGAGCATCAATGCTGCGCATCATTTGCACATTTTCCCGGGAACTCCGGTAGGGGTGTATTCAATAGCATCAATGCTGCGCAGCGTTTCCGGAAATAACACATGTGTTCGGTAAAGATGTATTTTAATGATTATGGATACATCATACGCAAAAAAACATGTCAGAATGTCATTCTCCTGTGTTTTCGAAACATTTAGACAAAACATTACTAAAATCATCTCTTACTTTTTTGATCAACAAACTCTCGTTGATCGTGAACTACATTTATTTAGACAAACTTTAACCCTTACATCTCCCTCAACTATAATTCAACTTTATGAAGAAAGTTTCAAAAAGTCTACTTGATCAAGCCTAGGCCCACGAGGTTAAACAATAAACTGACACCGATAGAAAGCAAATTACTGAGAAAACTTTACTGTAACTGTGTAGTTATTTGGAGTTGTTATATGGTCTTTGCAGAAAAGATTATGACCTTGTTGGAATAAAAGTCTGGAATGAAAGTCTGCTAATAGAACACAATGAATGAGCTCCATAGAGTCCCAACGTAATTGAAGATGTGTGATAACTTGGACAAGGCCAATAACCCTAGTCAGTACCCAAGTCAGTTTGACTACAATAATTTACTCCAGTATGCATGTGTTTAACATCATGTGCAAATGTCTGATAAAATCTGAATAAATAAGCAGGCAGGCAAAAATAATAGAGAGAGAATACACTTTAATAAGTAATGATATGTACACATAAAGCTAAGTATGTCATAAACATATTGTTAGAGTCATTTAATTAAATATTGGTAATTAAAGAGCAATGTTGACTCATTACACATAATACTCAGAGATAACGTTCTCATGTTTTGCACCCAGTTTATAGTGGCATGGTGATGCAGAAGTCCTTGGACACTAATTGCAGCACACAAGATACGATTTCAATGATGGCCAGCACTCGTTGTTGAGTGAAGAGTCGTTCCCTTCCACCTTGAAGAGGGCATCCAACCATTTTGTAGAAAATGCCACCAGGAGATGGTTTGATCATTTCTCAGGTTCTTTTTAACATGCTGTACTTTCAAACTGTACACAGTACTGTAACGGAGCAGTTGGTAGCTCAGTGGTAGAGTGCATGCTTTGTGTCCTGGGTTCAAATCCCAGGTGCTCCCAAGGTTGTTGTTGCAAGTGAGAAATTGTTCTCAATCGGCCTACCTGTTTAAATTAAAAATAACAATGGTATTCCTTTACATATACTTAGTGCAGAATGAGTCAGACACAGAGCTTGTTTTGGTCTCATCTGCTGTATGTCTTGTTTTGGTCTCATCTGCTGTATGTCTTGTTTTGGTCTCATCTGCTGTATGTCTTGTTTTGGTCTCATCTGCTGTATGTCTTGTTTTGGTCTCATCTGCTGTATGTCTTGGTCTCATCTGCTGTATGTCTTGTTTTGGTCTCATCTGCTGTATGACATTGAAGTGTCACATCTGTCTGTTCTAGAGGCTGAAGACGAAACCCTCGAGCCCAGGTAAGAAATATGAATCGGTTAAATGCTTTTCAGCTGAAGTGTTTCGTGGTCTCTCCAGCAGAGAGCGCTGTTGGTTTCTGTTAGGATGTTTTTTCTCCGTCTCTTCCAGTGAACGTAAAAGTAGCCTCTCAACAATCACATTGGACCTGATGGGGAGAGACATAGCTTGCAAAGATCTCAATCCCCTGGTCTGGAACAGACCTTTTCTTACAGTCACCATACTGTTTAGGAGATTAAAGGGTTCTGTCAGTTCATTCTGAATTATAACCTTCCAGTGTGGACTTACAAACATACCCTGACATTCAGATTTTTTAACATGTTAAGAATGCTCAAATTGTCATCGGATGTCCCCCTAAAAAGTATGTGCGACTTGTAAGGTGTGGAATACATCTTCCTGCTGGAAAACATTCAAAACATTATAAGTCTGTGGTGTACACTCATTTGTTATTTTACTATAAGTCTGTGGGTTACACTCATTTGTTATTTTACTATAAGTCTGTGGTGTACACTCATTTGTTATTTTACTATAAGTCTGTGGTGTACACTCATTTGTTATTTTACTATAAGTCTGTGGTGTACACTCATTTGTTATTTTATTATAAGTCTGTGGTGTACACTCATTTGTTATTTTATTATAAGTCTGTGGTG